TCTTGTTTTTTAATTATGTAAAGCACCTTGAAATGCCTTTCTGCTGAAATGTGCTATACAAATAAAATTTGAGTGATTAATTGAACCTCTACTGTAGCATCTATTCTATGCGCCTTATAATCCGGTGTGCCTTATAGTGCGGAAAATACGGTAATTGCTACTCAACAGCTTTGCACAAAAATGAAAAAAAAAATTATATTTAATCAAATTAGCATTAAAGGGACGATAAAATAAATGAACAAATAACTGAATAATTATCCCAAACTGATGAATTTTTGTTTATTATGCAATTTATTAAATTTTCCTTTGGGATCAATAATGTATTTTTGATTGGAATTCATCTGTGTTGAAGTTAGTAATTACTTTAATAAATACAAAAAAAACGTGTGAGCAGAAACGGTACCTGCAGTCAGGTGAGCATGTACAGTTGCAGCGCGGTGCGGCGGCCAGCAGGGGCGCTGTGGAGGCGCTGTGGGAGGTTTTATACGTGGAAGGAGAATGAGTCACCGGCTGCTTTCAGCCCACGCTGCCGGCGGCGGCCTCCGCTCAGCGGACCGAAGACACGACCAGAACCACGGAGCGTCACGACACTAACAGAACCTCCAGAACCACGGAACCAGACGGAGCTGCTGCCTGGTTCTGTACCGATCAGCTGCATGGTTCTGGATCAGAACCGGTCTGCTGCCTGGTTCTGATCTTGGTGATGTGGACAGAACCTCCAGAACCAGTGACATCACTGCTCAGAGCAGACAGGTGACCTCATACTCGATGACATCATCTCACCAACAGAGATGATGTCATCCTTCCCAGATGTTCTGATGTTCAGTCAGAACCAGAACCAGAACCCTCCCCCTCTGCAGCAGGAACAACGGTGTGTGTGTGTGTGTGTGTTGATGCTGCATCCTGAACCTCATTTTGCTGTCGGCTCACACACAGGGGGCGGGGCTTGGCGTGCTCTCTGCTGATTGGCTGGAGGTGACCTCATTGTTGCTGGTCCTCACTCAACTCCATTACATCATGGCCGGCTGCTGCAGTGCATCATGGGAGCTGCAGTATATCAGGATTGATCAGCAGCTCTTCAACCCAGCAGGACTCTGTTAGGGGGTTAGAGGTCAAAGGTCATGACAAAGCCACCTTTACTGAATGCTGATTATTATATAAATGGAAGTGACACGGCAACAGAATAACCACAGAAAGTGAAATAAACATAAATATGAGGAATATGTGAATATGTTTTATCCGTCCATATTTTCTCTAATGTGTCCATTTCTGTTGAGACCATAAAAATTTATTTTATTTATGAAAAACAACAGTGATCAAACTTCTGTACAGATATGAATGAGGATTGGGTTCATGGTAACTTTGGAAACGTTAGCATTCTGGTTAGCTACACTGAGCAAAAATATAAAGGCCCGTCAGATATTGTTGCCATGTGGAGTTAATTGTAAATAAGCATTTGCAAACATTTCATTGTTCAAAACTAATATTTCTCTTGGTTTGTGTATAATGTTTAGTCCAGTTTGCTGTCAGTGAGCATCACTCAGTTATTTACTCAGTGCATTGTGGGACATGTCCACTGGGTAGATGAAAACAACTGGACAATAAAAGGCCCCAACACGTCACATGATGTCTCCAGTCATAAAGCCTCAGATGTTCTGTGGAGCCGTTGGCGTGTTGGATGCAGGACGTCCAGCAGAGCAGCAGCTCCGGTATCGGACCGCCGGCCGTTTCAGAGCTGGTTTCCAACAGACTGCAGCTCCTCCTCATCCTCGTCTGACCGCCTCCAGATCGTCCATCGGAGGATCGGCTCAGACCAGCGACACACAGCTGATCGGTCTGAACAACAGACGCATCAGACTGTCTGTGACCGCTACGGGAAGCCGACTGGGTCAGAATCAGACTCCTCATCCTGACCCCGATCATGACTGTTAATCTGCTACAAACGGCTGAACCACGATGATATCAATGCCGATATGAAGATCAGTAATTACTGAAAATACAGTTTGAGTTTCTCTATATATTGCATTTGACACGGGGCTTTATATTTTTGTTCGGTGTAGCTTAGCATAACATGCACTATTATGCATGCACTAACTCAGGTAACCAAACTTTCTGTCATGTCGGTTAAAATCATTGAGTCAAAAGAACAAAACAAATTAAAGACAGAAAGTCTCCATCAAACATCTGACTTTGTGTCTTTCTGAACTGAAGTCAGGGGCCACAAACGGCTCCCGGGCCGCACCTTGGGCCACCCTGGACAAGCTAGCCATCATTTAGCTAACATTAGCTGCTGTAGCAGAAATGCTAAACTCAGATTGTTTGGAAGAAACGGACTGAAGGTTGGTAGGAGAGCCGGGCCGGTTCTGTTTGAGTCGTGGTTGTGAGTGTGTGTGTGTGTGTGTGTGTGTGTGTAACGTTTCATTCTCAGCTTTAATTTTAGTGCTGACATTTACTAGAAGCCAGAAGACTGTATCAGAACTAGTCCAGGTCAGAACCAGAACGGATCAGCACCGGATGTTCCCCTCGTGTCTCAGCTCGGATCTAAACCCAGTCAGAACCAGTTTCCTGGTTTGGGTCGGGTTTTAGAGCAGAGGTGTCAAACTCCAATCCTCCGCTTTCCTGCAGGTTTTGGATGTGCCACAGGTACAAAACACTGGAACGAAACGGCTTCATCTCCTCCTCCTGGTGTAGATCAGTTCTCCAGAACCTTAATGACCCGATGATTCTGGTGCAGCAGAGGCACCAGAATCATCGCTGCAGGGCAGCGGACCTCAGGACTGGAGTTGACACCTGTGTTTTAGAGAAACGTTCCGTCTGTAAAGTTCTGTTGAATCCATAACTGGTTCTGGACCGAACCAGATCCTGAGCAGCTGCTGAGGTTCAGATCAGCTGCTGGTTCTGAACAGAACCTGACCCGGTCCATTTAAAGCTGTGATAATCATCATCATGACCAAATATCTGGTTCTGGATCCAGATTCTGTTTGCTCCTTCCAGAACTTTTCTCCTCTGTTTCCAGTTTCTGATGAAGAGTTTTCCCTTAGTGATGAAGATGAACCCACACATCCTCCTCCTCCCTCTGCCGCTCTGGACCAATCCCAGAACAGCATCCCAGCCATCCAATCAGAGCGCTGCGTGGTGATGTCATGGAGCTGCTGTGGAGCCGATGCTGCCGAGCTGCAGAGCAGAGCAGAGAGCAGAGCGGCGAGGCTGCAGGTCAGTTCCTCACAACTCTTTCCTTCCACTCCTCATCACTCTTCTTTCTCTTCTTTCTTTCCTTCCTTCCTCTCCTTCATCCGCTCGTTCTCTCCATTCTCCGTTCTTCTTTCTGCCGTTTCCCTCTGAACTCGTTCTGCAGGTGATGTGTTAAAACAATGACATCATCGCTCTCATCAGCACATTTCCTCTGTTTCTGTATTTTTCTGCTCTGAAAATGTTTCTGTGTTGGTTCTGCTGACTGGTGCTGGTTTAACTGGTTTAACTGGTTTAACTGGGAATGTGGATGATTTCCTGCAGCTGCACTTAATGCGGCGCGTCTTCATGCGATGAAGAAGTGATGCAGGAAACCCTCTGGTTCTGGACGTTCTGCAGCTTAACTTGCAGGTTCAGAACCAGGAACAGTCAGAACCGGCCGTTCCGGGTCAGAACCAGAACATCTAGGATGTCTAAGGCACTGAAGTTTCTGGAGGTCCGAATGACTCAGATGAGTTAAAAAAGCTTCAGAGAAAAGAACCAGAGTTTTTCCTCAGAGCTGCTGCAGGAATCGGTTCTGATCCAATCAGAACCAACAGAACTTCCAGCTAGATGCAGATAAAACAGGAACATTTAGATGAACTCAGGGCCGTCCAGTTTGGACCCAGAGTTCAGGTTCTGGTTTTAGTTCTGGTGGGTGTCTGCTGCAGCAGGCAGCCTTATGGAGGTTCTGTTGTGGTTCTGACCCGTTTGTCTTGTCCTCAGGAACTGATTCTACTACCTCACCACAGTGTCTTTGTTGGAGAACAGCAGGAACATGACCCTGACAGGTGAGCAGGTTCTCCGTCCCGTCCCGGCCCGGCCCGTTTCACCTCCTTCATTCTGCCCTCTGTTCTCCTCCATGTTCCAGCGTACAGAGAGAAGATGCGAGAGCTCCCCCTGGTGTCCATCTTCTGCTCCTGCATCCTGCCTCAACCCAGGGAGCCAACGGCCAACAAGAAGGAAGGTCAGCAGCATCCTGACTTCTGTTAGGGTCCAGAACCAGAACCAGCTGGTTTCCGGTTCTCACAGCTGTGACATTACAGTCAGTTAAATTAATGTTCATGTAGCTCTGATCAGAGATCAGGTTTCCTCCAGCAGAGCTCAGTTCAGGCTCAGGCCCGTTCTCTAATCCGGATCAGAACCCAGAAAGACTCAGCCACTCACAGTGTGACGTTCTGCCTGAGGAAACATGCGGGCTGGAGTTTGCAAAGATACAGAGTTAAAATTAACTGCAATAATTTGGGTTATTTAGCCTGTAATAAGAGAAAAACATGACGGTTCATGATAGTCATGCTTTCATCAGGTTATTCATTCATTCATTTATAAATGTCACAGTTTCAAACCAAAGCTTTAGTTAGCCAGATAATTATTTAACTTGGAATTAAACATTTAGCTACAATTTAAATATTTATCTTCAAACTAAATATTTATCGTTCTAAATACTAAGCAACATTTACCTCGTTAGCTAAAAATTTATCAAAGCTAAATATGTAGCTCCAAGTTAAATATTTAATTCAGAAACTACATGTTTCAATAATTTAACTAATTAGTTAGCAGGGAAACATTTAGCTCCTCTCCTGCGCATAGAGTTAGCTCAATATTAAGCTAACTCTGAGCTAAATATTTAGTTTTGTAGAGTAGTTAGTTTTAAACTTCTATGTTTAAAGGAATAAGATGGTGAAAATATAACTTTTAAAAATTAAACCCCATTTTGTTTCTCTTATAACAGGCTAAATAACCTAAATCACTATTAAGTTTTGACTGTAGCCCAGATTGGACCCGTCCTCCCTCCTCCTCTTCCGGTTTGGACTCTTAGCAGCTAAAATTATGTTTTTCAATATAGATATAAAAACAAATGCAGGTTTGTCATCATATCGACCAGTGAGGTTCTGAATCTTAAAGCTAGCGGTCTTCTTGCAGGCGTGGTGGACCTGAACCTGTGCAACATCCGGGACATGGAGGTCATCGAGCTGAGCAAACGCGCGAGCGGCCAGGCCTTTGAGGTCATCCTGAAGCCGCCGACCTTCGATGGTGCCCCGGAGCTGAGGGCCACCACGCCGCCCCGCCAGAAGCCGTCGCTGGCAGAGATCCAGAAGAAGCTGGACGCCGCGCAGGAGAGGCGGAAGGTGAGTGGAGGCCGGGCCAAGTTCCCGGTGATCAAACCTCAGCCTCACCTGCTCTCTGGCGCTCTCTAGTGTCAGGAGGCGGAACTGCTGAAGCACCTGGCCGAGAGGAGGGAGCACGAGCGCGAAGTGGCGCAGAAAGCTTTGACCAAAGACCGTCAGGAGCATCGCGTCAACGCCAACCCGCTGCAGATGCACCTGAACGCCTCACAGGAGGAGGTGAGGACCCGCTGACCCTATCCCCGGCCCTGACCCTCTGACCTCCCGTCGGACGGACGTCTGTGTCTAATGAATTGTTTCCGTCTGTCTGTCTTCCAGGACAAGCACAGTGTGGAGGTGAGGATGAGGATGAGGAGGCAGCCATGATGGATTCTGGGTGGGCGGCCAAACCATCAGGGTTTATGGCACAGGTGTCAAGCTCCAGTCTTGAAGGGCTACTGTCCTGCAACTTTTAGATGTGCCTCTGCTGCACCACCTGAATAGAATAATAATTAGGTCATTAGCAAGGCTCTGGAGAACTGATCTACTAAGGAGGAGGTAATTAAGCTGCTTCATTCCAGTGTTTTGTACCTGTGGCACATCTAAAAACTGCAGGACAGTTGGCTCTACCAGTGGACCTCTGAGCGTTGGTTCATCTTTTGGTGTGTTGTTGTTTAGGACAGGACTTAAATTGTAGTCTGGGTCTGGTTTGGGTTTGGGTCAGACTGGTTTGGATCAGTCTGGTTTGGATCAGTCTGATTTAGGTCAGTCTGGTTTGGATCAGTCTGGTTTGGGTTTGGGTCAGATTGGTTTGGATCAGTCTGATTTAGGCCAGTCTGGTTTGGATCAGTCTGGTTTGGATCAGTCTGGTTTGGATCAGTCTGGTTTGGGTTTGGGTCGGTCTGGTTTGGATCAGTCTGGTTTGGGTGAGTCTGGTTTGGGTCAGATTGGTTTGGATTAGTCTGGTTTGGATCAGTCTGGTTTGGATCAGTCTGGTTTGGGTTTGGGTCAGTTTGGTTTGGATCAGTCTGATTTAGGTCAGTCTGGTTTGGGTTTGGGTCAGTTTGGTTTGGGTCAGTCTGATTTAGGTCAGTCTGATTTAGGTCAGTCTGATTTAGGTCAGTCTGGTTTGGGTTTGGGTCAGTTTGGTTTGGGTCAGTCTGGTTTAGATCAGTCTGGTTTAGGTCAGTCTGATTTAGGTCAGTCTGGTTTGGGTTTGGGTCAGTTTG